GTTTTGAAATTACTTCAATGAACAAATATTGAATTTGTCTCAGTATATATTCTACAGCACTGAATTTCATTGCAATTTTTCAAATTCCTGTACAGAGTAGGAATAAAATTTTTGTCCAATTTGGTAAACCAAATTAAATTAAAATTCAAAAAAATAAGTTGTAAAAAATACTAAAGGGGGTATCTCACGTGGCTAAAAAATAAGACCAAAGTGTACATGACCGCGAAGACAATTTCGTACTCGGAGGGAAGAGGGAGAAAAGAGCAGCAAAAAGAGGGGTTGGTGGGGGGGGAGGGGGCAAAAAAAATGCCATGAGATCATTTTCGTACACTGTCTTTCAAATATCCCATTATAGCCGTGGTGGTCAAGGAGGGTCCGTATCGGAAGAGAAAATGAGGGACAGAAGAGGGTAAGTAAACGTAGAGAGAGGAGACAAGCGGGTATGAGCTCTTATAAGCCCACTGTACGGTATGTAAATATATTATCCACTTGCTTATCACGCGTGCCAAATTTAAAAGCTTTTCCGGGTACGCTCGCATGTTGGAAGTTGATTGGTGAGTATTAAACCCACCTCCTTCCGACCCTTTGTCAAATTTTCGGCCCAACGAGTATGATATCGAACACGTAAATACTTATCACATTCTATCCACATGCATGCCGACTATTAACACGTACTAGGTAAATATATAGTATACATACCTGTAGATATTTGTCAATCATTATTAGGGAGTCGTGCGCGTATTGCAAAAACTCGTTGGAATTTCAATCTATATTTCCAAGGCTTAGTTCTCTGGAGTAAGTATGTACTGTTTTAATACTGGCAAATTGTGTGAAGTGTATTTTCATTCTGAAAAATACATGCTCTCAAAAAATTAATATAAGATATGAACTGTTAAATTTACTGATTGTATACATACCTGCATCTATATTTATTATCGACTGTTTTTAATTTCTGTAAAGGAGTTCAAGCATATATCTAAGTCCCGTTTTATTGGTGTTTAAAAAATTGCTCGTTTCGGGCTACGTAAATATCGATATGAGCATCGAAAGCCACTTGGCACCTTTTACACTGTTGATGTATTTTTGAAAAAAATTAACATAACTGTAGTTAAAAAAAATGAGAATAAAAAGTGTATCGCTTCGTTCGTTAAACTGTAATGCATACCATTTCGTAATTTCATGTATAATATTACTAGATGTAAGAGCAAACAAAACCATCGTTGTGGCATCATATATTGTGCTAGTATTGAATAGTTAAGGACTGAAAAATAAAACTTTGTCGCTAAGCTGCGATATACTTTAGCGATTCGTATGAAAAGACAGTAAAAATGCCAGGGAAGAAAATTTCAGCGAAACATATACTTGAATTCACTTGAAACAAAGCGAGCGGATTTTACGCATTTTTCGTATAGAGACTATATATTATCAGTTGAGCATATTTAGCGACTTCGAAACATGTGATAAGATAAAATTCGTGTTCATGTCCTTCAAATATTAAGGACTGCCACGGTCACTAATGTATACACGTGAAAATCATTTTAGGGGCTGCTCTCCCACTCTCCTATATATTCTGCTCACTCTCGTATTTAATTTTTACATTCCACCGCTTCAAATCACACATGCCTATCTACAGGCTTGAACGAGTTATCAAAACAAACATTTTTATACGATTGACAAATCAGCCAAGCTTCGTAGGTAAATTTTATGTAATTGAACCCACAAACTAGATATAATAATTATATATTCATGTATAAAATTTGGTACGGAATGAATGACCAACTATTATAACGTGAAAAAGAAAAAAATGATTTCGTATGTTTATAGTTTTGGGATGTACCAAGGGAAAATAAACATACACTCGCGAGAGGTTTAAAACAAACTCGCGGGAAACCGACGATATATTCTCGCTCCATCTCCCATATGCTGGCTATAATGGGCTCCGAGCCCTTGTACACAACTTTGGATGAAAGAAGCTAATCTAATTTAATCTCCCACTCCTTGGGTTTATATCTCGATTTTCCCTGCCCGCGGGTGCGATCGTTGCGTCCGTTATACCGGCGTAATTAAATAAACAAAGTCAAAGGTGATGCAGGTGGATGTGAAAGAACGAGAGGAGACGATGTCGGGTGGGACTGGCAGGGGAAAGAACCTTCCCTCGGAGCGTTACAGGGGAGGGCGGGGGATATCGGTCTGACAGATTGACATTCAGTCGCGCGAGTCCACCTGAATATTTCATCTCGTTTCACCTGTCAGACCCGCCTGGCCCGAGACTGATCTAAACATAGCTCGCCTGACTGCGGAGTCTGACTGCTGCTCGCTGCCCTGACGAACTTTCGACCCCAAGTGACCCCGAGGATCAACGCACATGTCGTCGCCGTCGCCGATGCTCATGTCGACACCGTATACACACCGTATTATCATGATGTGTTATATATATATGTACATATATATATATTATGTGCAAGCGTGTAATCATTTTTTTTTTTTTTTTCCTCTAATTTGCAAAGTTATTTTGGTTTTATGCATATGAAAACCAAAGGACAACAAGTGAGAGTTTTCGCAACCAAAAATATGCGCTTGCAGTAATGAACCATCGTGTAGGTGCACAACTCAAACATCTAAATTGGCATCTTTGGGCGGTATCATCTCTGCGGTGGCTGTTTTTTTTTTGTTTTTTTTTTTGAGGAGTGGGGGGGGGCGATGAATCATTCGAAAACTTTATTCGGCCCGCCACTGTATGTACCCTTTACCTGTATCGCTCGCTTAATCCCTCCCTCTTAATCCGTTATCCGATTGGGCATTAATCACATCACGCGCGTACAGTTTAGAAGCTGTCCCTCCGGTCATTTGAAATATACAATTTACCCATTCATACGTATACGTGTGTATGTATAAAAGCTTTTTGCTGTTACGCGCTTTGAATATGGGAATTTCGGAAAATCAAATACCTTTTCAGTTTGAATTACAAATCAAAGGACTTTTTTTTTTCAATAATGAACAACAAAATTGTATCCATTACGCTATGAAGCTCGCTCGCGGTCATTACTTTCTTTAGAGCACCATGAATTTTCTTCTCATCAAAGATTAGACTAACCGAAAAGAAAAAAAAAAAAAAAGTGCATTATTTAAAAAAAAAATAATAATAATCATGCAATGAAATTAGTTTATTATTTATATAAAGTTTTTATACAATTTCTGTAACTTTTCGTAGAACTAGTATAATCTTCGCCCACTTTTCTAGCATGTAGAGCCGCGACCGCTTAACTTAATCGGGAAAAAACATTCTTACATGCACTTGATGGGTATTAGATGGTTTCAACTGTTTCAAGCAGCAAGCTACGTAAGTAATGGTTGGCAAAGGCAAATAGGTATTCTAAATAAGGCTCCTGCGTGCATAGTATGACAGAAATTGTTTGTTACATAAAATTAAAACGTTAAGGTTTTCCATAAGTACACAACAACCACTGCACTCTTTAGGTATGTTCCGCAATCGCCGCTAGCCATAATAGTTATACATATGTGAGCGCGCGGTGGCTCGGTCGGCTGGGCCCTGGATTGGCACGCGGGAGACCGTGGTTCGATGCCCGGCCAGTGCGACTTTTCAGGCAAGTACCTCTGTTATTTTTCGTATGTGCTTTTTCACCACGCAATGCTCCTCGAGGAGGGTTTAGGCGACCTTCTCGCAGCAAAATTGCCTAATTTCCCCCTACCCCCCCTCCCAGTAATGGGAGGCCTCCCATCCCTTTCATAAGTGCTAAGTGCCCATAGTAGTGCCCTTATTAAAAGGAGCCGGATGTAGAGCACTATAATATATAAAAAAAAAAAAAAAAGTTATACATATGTACATACGTCATACGACCTACGACGTGACAACGTTGCGTATGGTTGGGAGCGCTACTGTCGATTTACCATGGTAAATCCTCGAGGAACGTTGGTACCTATATAGGTATAGGACCTATTTCAAATGACGCGACACTTGGGTGTCACGCGACTCATTAGTATTGGTTTTAATAGGACTGCGTGACACTGTCGCGTCATTTGGAATGCTCTAATAGTATAACACAGGGTGTATTCTGCAATCGCCGCCAGTCATGGTTCCATGTTTATGTACGACACGACCTGACTGTTGTTTATTAAACAACTGTTGTTACGTTGCGTATGGTTGGGGGCGCTAATATATCCATTCACTGGTGATATGTGATGTGTTTCGCAATCTCACCATCAGTATAGAATAACAGACGACGTTGGTCAATATTTATACATTTGCTCCTTTTCGTGCCGTATTAAAAAAACTAATATACAATATAGGTAATTATAGTGTAACTATATTGTGTATAGGTAACTATTGTGTTTGTTTCAACTTGGCGTGTTGGTCTGTGGTGACGTTTATTTGGTTATTCATATAATATATATATATATAAGAATAACTTAGCCAAGTGTGATTATAAGTACATTTTCAATAAATAGTAATGTTTCGGAGAATTCCAAAATATCAAATCCTATTCATCTCAGCAATCAGTGTGGTTGGCAGTATTTACACCTGGAAGCCAGAGTTTGATAAACTTGCAAGAGAACGACATCAGCTACTCGATAGTACTGAAAAAAAACTTTGATCAATTGAATTAGGCAGCCGATGGCTATGGATTAATATGTATTTAAAAATAACGACATTAAAAGAATTGTTTATTATAAGACCCAAGTTATTTGCTTCATGTATAACCTACTACTTGTTGGATTTTGTGTTGTCAAGTTCTTATGTAATATTAACATTCACAAATACTTTCGCTTTTGAACTAAATGTGTATCGTTATTCTTTGTTTTTGAAGTCACCTTTGAATTGACGAAAAAAAAAATTTTATTTTTTTTCCATAAGCTCGGAAAAAAAAGTTTGATGAAATTCATAATGACATGTCAAACTTAAGATCAAATAAGTACAGTTTTCATAAATATTTTGCGATTTTTATTTTCGTTATCTCTAGTAGCTGTGATAATTGAGTTTTTCAGCACAATTCATCACATTCAGTTCTTGGAATGGTTGAGCATTCGGTGTGTTTCAAACCAAAGCTGTAAGCTGGCACACACTCTTTTATCTTTGGAAAATACGCTGCAGGTCCAGGACCGATGCAAGGAGTTTTAGTTTTTGGTCTACCGATTAAGTTAAATGCTGGTGAGGTAGGCTTGATCAATGAAATGTCTCCAGGATCCCTTATCGGCGGGTTAAACTCGCACTTTCGGTCTTTTCCTTTCAACCCACTAGAGAAAGATTCAAGTTGTTCATGTACTTGTTAATTTTTCTTTCTGGGAGTAAAGTGAAGTAATAATCGTAAAAACGACTCTAAATATAATTACAATGGAAAAGATGGTCCTGGCGGATATTTTGGAGGATCATAGGGACCTGACAATGGAGGTGGGCATCTAGTTTTTGGTTTGCCTACTATCGTGTAAGCTGGGGCTGTGAAATCAGGTAGCGTATACTTGGGACCAGGGCTACAGCTTTTCACTGAAATTACCGTTAATATGGTAAAATAAATATTTCAAAAGTTGTTTGCAATTTTTTACATTTTTTTTTTTTCACTTGATGACAAGTGCAATGAATTTTAAATTAGCTCATACCTTCTTTGTAAACGGCGCGCGGAATAGAGTAACCAGGTATTTTTGGCAGCTTGGGAAAATATTTATTTGGTCCAGGACCTACGCAGGGTACCTTTATTTTTTGTATTTTTCCAATCGTGTATGCAGGATATCTAGGCTTTGAATGACAGTGAAGATCGTATCCTACTACCGGCCGTAAATTGTACTTTGGACCGGGGCCTTAAGAAAAAAGTAAAGATTCACACGTAAATCACATAACTATGCCCACAAAATAAGATATAACCTGTAATAATTGGCTTACTTTTTGTACCACATGATAACGTCTTATTCTTTGGTTTTTTATCGCCTTCTGCAGTAATTTTTTTGGACGGCATTGTTGGTTTTTAATTTTTTTTCTTAGTTACTTTATTGAAAATAATTTACTGTGAATTTTGAGGGAATTTCGAAAACTAAGCCAAACAGAACTAGAATGAATTTTGTTACTTCATGTTTATTTATTTAACTGACAAGTAACAAATGAAAATCTGACGAATGTGCATCTGTCAAGGGTTAATGTGAGAGTACAAATTTCATCGCGTGAATAAATTACTTAAAAGTATAAGGAATAACTGATAAAAATCTTTTGACAAATTTTTTCATTAACATAATATTTTTATTAATTTCTTAAATACATCAATCATCATTCTCTAGAAGCCCTACAGTCGTGCATTCACTATACTTGACTCCGAAAGAGTATATGGGTTGTCGCTTTTTTATTAAATTCAAATTGTAACTGTACTGAGGTCCTGGAGATTTTTTAGCGAGGTCAAACAAATTATGTCGAAATTTCATTGAGTATGCCGGATTTTGCCGCTTATAAGTGGCTAGTTTGATGCTGTACGCTGCTGGACCAGGACCAAGATTTTCTTGTCTTTGTTTATGTTTGAAGGCCCTAAAAAGAAAAAATTATAATGACGATAGTTGTACCGCAGTTGCTTTAAAGTTTCAGCATAATTAATTACATTGAGTATGCTCCTTCAGCGCGAATGTCTGGGATTTCGGGTCCGATGCAAGTTGGCAGCATATAAATCGGTCCTGGTCCATCTTTGTAGGGAATTTTATGATGTCTAAAGCGAATCGTGTAAGCAGCTGCTCTGCGCTGATGATTGACAAGAGGACCTTTTTCGGGAGCGTAAGCACCAGGACCTGGCACTTTATCGTGAACTGTGGGGGGTTTTTTTTTTTACATTATTACTTTGACTTGGAATAAAGTTTTTTGAGATCGCTTTTAATCCAGCTTACATCTCTTATAGTATTTAGATGCTATGGTATATGCAGGTGATGATTCTAAGCCATGATGCGTCATTTTGCCGGTTACCGGATAAGGTCCTGGTCCTGTGAGGGCAATTTTTTTTTTGCCTCGAAATTTAAGGGAATAAGCTGGATATCTTCGTTTTGATGGATCATGGTCATCGAATCCCGTTAGTGTTTTGAGCATGTACTTGGGCCCCGGTCCTTATCAATGTATCAGATAGCAAGTTTGATTATCAAGGTTTTAAAAGTTAACAAGGTTATTTTTCTAAACGTATGTCAAGCATACCTCGATTTTTACAGCTGTTTGATTTGGATTTGTTGCTTTTTTCATAGTCCATTTTACAAAAATATTTGAAAAATTTATAACACCTCTAAAATTTATGTTCACAAAAAAAATCTTGCGTTTATTGAAAATTTGGTTAGATAGAAATCACAGAAAAAAAAAGAAAAACCAATTGTAACAGATTTCATTCTTATAATTTTTCAAAAAAATTGAATGCTCATCCAACAGTGTTTATGTTTTTTCCAAGTATAGTTATTCAGTGTATTCCGGATTTTCGTCATCGTCATCGTCATCGTCATCGTCATCATCATCGTCTTTGTCTTCCTCTTCCTCCTCCCCTGACCCCTGTTTTTCAACCATCAATGATTTTAATTTAATAATTAAGTCATCGCGAACGTGTTGTGTAGACTGTTGATCTTCTTTGGTGTTTTGATCAAGATCTATCTTCTCATCTACTACAAGATACAATTATTTTATAAATTACAACGTATTTTTCACTCAAAAAGTTACAAACGATTTCTGTATACTTACTATGTTTGTTCATGTATCTGACAAAAGTTCTCCTCTTTCTTTCGGGCAGTGTTTTAAGCATTTTTTGTATTTCAGGGTCCAATTTCAGCTGTTCCTGTTCATTCACTTGTGGCACAACTAGTTCAGCTTCTTTTCCACACTTTGGGCAGACATTCCTTTCCTTTGCACAAGCCCTACAGATAGTATGATAGGCATGTTTGACAGTTTTTTGCTCACAATAGTTGCACTTTCCAGGTGCCTTTGGTTGCTTATATTTTTTATACTTGATTTTCCATTCGATGATCTGTTTGCATCTCTGGCACACATTGGTTACTTGTAAATTATTAATTATCTTTGTCTTGTTTGATGTATCATGCAGACTATTTTTAAATGCAAACTGATTCTGGTACTTCTGCGGTCGTGAACGATGAGCATTACCTTTTTGTGTGCTCATAATATTTTCAATAAAATAAAAACCTTCAAACGTTGAATTGTACCTCTCGATGATTATATTTTCTTTTCCAAAGACGAAAGAATAAATGTAAGTGACTGTGTACACACCTGATGTCGTATATATATATATACGGGTAATAATGTCCACTACCTGGAAGATTTTATTTTTTATCACTAATTAAAATTGTTAAACAATAAAATCGTACTGGTTTTGACATACGCAGGTACAAATACTTTGTTTGGGGTTACGTTAGCATGCACGTTAGTGTAGCTTTCGCATTTTCTCAACTCTCAAAACTTGTTGTGAGATCGATCAATCGGAAAATCGATTTTTACAACAACATCAGTTTTTTGTGCATTGATTTAAATTCGAATCTAATCAAGAGCAGAGTCTTTTTGTTTAATAATAATTTAAGTATACATTTCAAGTGAATTTCTATTTGTTGTCACTACCATTTGTTTATTGGGAAATGTAATTAATTTAGTCATACTGCTTGATTATTTTTAAAAGAAAATAATTCCTGATTTTGTTTAACTTGTAAGATTTTTATAAAATGTATTTTCGTAATCAAAAAATATTTAAAAGATTTCTTTTTTTTTATCAATTCGTCAGAAATAGATCTTTCACACCAACCCAAATAATCGAAAATCGAATTTTATGCCTTCGATTCGATTCAGGAATAATCAGGAATATCCATATTAAGGACGACAACGACAAAGCGCTGGCATCGATCACGTGACCCTCTCCTGCAGTCCTCACCGAAACGTACTTTTCAAATGTTGTCGCTTTAAGTCTGTTACAGGTACTATGATGTCTATGATGAGCGCTAAAACAGAAAAGTATTTGTTTTAAAATTGTGCAGTAATAAAAACAACAACAATATTAATGAGTATAAGTACTGAAGCAGCATCGTGACACAAATCAAGGCAAGGACATTATCATCAAGAGATCAAGGAAAAGGTGAAGATACAAAGGGTAATTGTAATGTGTGTTTATCAGTCGGCAGCCAGCAGTCAAACACACTCTGCACGTTAGTTTTTCGAATAGGACGCAACGACATTATAAGGATGAAGTCGAAGGACGTCGATGGTGAGTCACTCTTTCCTTGACTTATCAATTTTTCCATTGAAAAAAAATATTTTTCCTGTTATGCAAATGCACCTGCTCGTAACATCGAGTAAGTAATGAGTAAAATTTGTATTTACGGGTACCCATTACTATAGTTTATGTACGTTATGCATACATTCGGTGAGAATTCGTATCCCTTTGGAAATCATTTTATTTAAATAAGATTAAATTGTTAAAAGTTATGAAATGAGATAAAAATATAGTTTAATACAATTTTATAACAATTTTTGATGAGCAGAAAAAGATGTGAAGCGGTCAGCAGAAGAAATGGACGAGATCAGACAGAGGACATTGGCTTACGAATATTTGTGTCATTTGGAAGAAGCTAAAAAGTTGGTGAATTTTTTTTTTTTAATTTTAACACAGTATATACTGTTCTCCATTTTTTTACGAAAATAATTTTTTTAGATGGATGGAAGCAACTTTAAGGGAGCAATTACCTTCTACCACAGAATTGGAGGAAAATTTAAGAAACGGGGTGTTTTTAGCAAAACTTGGCCACTTTATGGCTCCCGAAATTTTGCCTCTCAATAAAATATATGATATCGATCAAAAGAGGTATGCAGTTGCTGGATTGCAGTTTCGTCACACGGATAATATTAATTTTTTTTTAAAGTGTCTGAAATCCATGCAATTGCCTTATGTAAGTCTCTCATTTGTAAATGTTTTATGATAATGACCATCATTTAATGTTTTTACTGACACTAGAAAATTATTTTTTTACCAGACATTTCAACCCGAAACCACTGATATTTATGATAAGAAAAACATGCCTCGTTTAATTTATTGTATTCATGCCTTAAGTACTCACTTGTTTAAATTGGGAAGAGCAACGCAAATTCAAGATCTTTATGGAAAAGTTAACTTTACTGGTATGACCGAGTAGGATTTTGTTATTTGAAATATTTTTCAAATATTATTACAAGAATGGTTTCATTGTATAACACATTTTTTTGTCACAGATGAGGAAATAGATACCGTCAGCAGAGAGTTACAAAAATTAGGCGTAAAAATGCCTGCTTTTCAAAAAATTGGTGGAATTCTAACAAATTGTATGGAAGGCGATATCGCTGCATTACACGCGGCAGTTATAACAATCAATCAATCTTTGATACACCAAAATAAAAAAACCATTTTTTCTCTACTTCAAAACCCTGCGGCTCAATTACAAAATGTGAATCCCGACTATGTCGACTTCTACTTCAACATTTTAATTATTGCGAAAGAGAAAAAAGCCGAAGCTGCACTGAACCGAGTAAACAATAATGATAATTTAAGTATTTATTTGATCATCTTTTTTAATAATATTGTGAAATAAATTTCTAGTCTTTGAATGACAGTTATGTACCAGACGCCTATGATGAACTTTTAACCCAAGCAGAAATTCAAGGGCACATTAATAACATCAACAGTAAATACGCAATAATTTTATTCAAGGATTTTATTTACTGGCTAAAATTTTTATTTTATTTTCAGTACAATGTGCCTTGGATGTTTTAGACGATTGCATTAGGCAAGATAAAAAAAATATTTCATCAGTTTTAAAAAGGCCGGATTTGCAGCTGCAGCATGTCATTGAAAAAAATGATGACTTATACACAAAACATTTAAAGACATTAATAGATGGTATTGATTGGCAACATCGACTCTTAGAAGAAAGTTCGCGTTGGCAAAAGAAAGTACAGGAAATTATTATTTCTGCCAATGATGTTGCTGATGAATTAAACCAACGTAAATTTATATGAGTTGTAAAGTATCAATAAACAATTAGAGATTTTAATTGAAATAAATTGTATACGCAGGCAAGGAAATTGTAAGACATCTCAATCACGTTTTGGAAAGTGGGTCGGAAAAGGATTTTTATAGAGTTTTAACAAATCCAAAATTAAAAATCTCTAATATGGTCGACGAGTTTGCAATTCCACTTTATTACGAAGAAATGAACATAGATCATTCGGAATCCCAAGTAAATATTTACATATTTTTAAATATTCTAAAAAAAAACACTAAAACTTTCAATATTCTTAGATGGATTTGCTTTATGACGATATAGTAGTCAGCATCCGCGTGTTGACTGCAATTGCTAACGTTACCAAAGCCGTTGATACAAATAATCCCGATTTGGTTTATAGATCTTTGAATTGTTCAGATGTACACATTAATGTAGGTATTTTAACTCCGCCAATGTAATATTTCACGCGTAAAAGTTACAGGAATTGTTTACTCTAGGGTCTTGAAGAAAACAATAAAGTGAAATATTTAAGAGGGCTACTGACCATTCGTAATGAAAAAAAAATTAAGAAGGAAAAATGCCAATTATTGACATACAGCGATATACAAGACTGCATCGATTTTGTTAATGAACAATGTGCAGAAGATAACAAAGGTAAAATTATAAAATACCCAATTCAATGTAAGGTCGGACATTTTTTAACGATGCGCAAAATAAACAAAACTTTTCATTTTACTATAGCGGTTGATATTTTACAAAGATTAAACAAAGCTGTACAATTCAATAATAAAGTTGAAATGTTGCAAGCTTTAGAAGAAATTAATGTGAAATCAGATAAGTCCACGTCCTTAATGGATTCCTCCTTGTATATGAAATTGTTTAGACAATGCTTGATCGATAAACACTCGGATGGATCTGAGTTGTGGTTGGAAGATGTTGAAGATATTGTAAAAACAGTGTTATTAGAAAAATCGCATATCGAACGGAGTATGAATCAAATTACTACTTTTTTATTTTTATTGGTTGTACTAAACTATACAGTATAAAATATTTTTGTTCTTTTCAGTGTGTTCCATACTTCACTACGTCAATGCGAGTATTGAAAAAAATGATGTATCCCTGATGATTAAGGCTTTAAAATTGGAAGATGTACAACTACCTGAGAAGCATAGTATCGCATACTTTGAATTTTTAAGGAATTTGAGAGCAGAAAAGGTATGTGTGCTTTTTGTTGTTTTTACTTTTAATCATGAACCAATTCAAGCTTCATTAGTCACCAAAATGTGGTCCACAGCAAAAGAAATTTTCATCTCCATTTGTAAAGTATACAACCTCATTGGGCAACACTGCGTTTTTAGATATCGAAAAATCTTTGTACACATGGGATACTCCAAAGGATACGGGTGAAACGTACTTCATTACTAAAGAAGATCTAGAGGTAGTTTAAAATGATTTCAGGGTATGATAAAAATTGATTTTTATGTGAAAAATAAAAATAAAAATTTTGTTATTTTCATAGCAGGTGATATTAAAAGACGTGACGAAAAACAACTGCGATAGCAAAATATTCAGGGAAAAAGAATTGACGAATACAATCATACTTCTGCAAGCTTACATACGGGGCTATCTTGTTCGTAAAAGATGTGCAGAATATGTAGGAAAAATTATAAAGATCCAAGCTTGGTGGCGTGGAGTTTTACAAAGACAAATTTTTTCCAAATGGCTAACAAATGGCCAAGTACCGAGAAGTGGAAAAAACAATGAGAAAACTCTTAATTTTATGGATTATTACGCGGCGCACGTATGTTATAAAAAATTTTTTTTTTTCTGACTATGTTTAATGCAAAATGCTTTGACATGGTAAAAAAAAATTAAAAGAAAATAATTTCAGGAAAGTAAAATTATTAAAATTCAAGCTTTATGGCGCGGACGTTTGACCAGACAAGCTTTTCACTCGCTTTTGCGCCTAGACAAGCCTCCATTCTCCATAGTCAGGCACTTTGCTAGTATTTTAAATTTTACTGCCCAAGATTACGATAAAGATCTACAGCTGCAGGTATGCAAACAATTAAAACTTTCGATTCCTTATACTGAACCCTTGAAAAAAATTTTTTTAGCAATTAAAAAACGAAGTGGTAAAACTTATCAAGCACAATCAAAACCTTGCACAACAATTGGATGACATGGACATAAAAATAGGCTTGGTCATTCAAAATCGAATAGCCTTGCAGGTATATCGCAAAATTCTGTTGTACAAAAATGTAACAATATTGTTATACTAATACGTGTAAAATTAATTGCGCGAAGGATTTGGTTGCACACGGAAAAAATTTGGAGAATTTAACAAAGGACAAGCACGTTTTATTGAAAGAAAATAAAAATGTTTCATCTGATGCGCATTGCTCTCTGAAAGGCCTGAAATCATTGACGAAAGAAGGTCGCAGGATGCTCGAAGGCTATCAGCATTTGTTCTATGCTCTTCAAACGAATCCTGCATACTTGTCAAAGCTCCTTTTTCTTTTGCCGCACAGTAAACTAAACAAATTTTTGCACGATATGATTTTGAAACTGTTCAATTACGGCTCTAATTCGCGAGAGGAGTATTTATTATTGAAACTTTTGGGAACTGCCTTACAAGAAGAGATAAGGTAGCTCGATTTTCGAATAATATTTAAATATCAAGTATGTGAATTTGCATGTAAAAATTTCTATTTTAAAGGTGTAAATTTCAAAAACCAATGGATGTTGTGAGCGGAAATCCTTTGGTTTTAAAGATGGCAGTAGCTTACGCGAGGCAATTACATGGCCAACGATCTTTGAGGGATATTCTTGGACCAATAATTAATAAGATTCTTGCTGATAAAACGATCATGATAGAAACGAATCCCGTGGACATTTACAAGTCGTGGAGAAATCAACTTGAAATGGAGACTGGTGAAACCTCGTAAGTTTAGAAAAGTAATAAAAATATACCACAAATCTGTAAATCTATACTAGTGACGTTTTCAAAATTTTAGAGATCTACCGTACAACGTTACTTCGGAAAAAGCACTGCAATACGACGCGGTGAGAAAAAGATTGGACAACGGAATGAGATTACTTCAGAAGACCGTTTTGGATTTACTGAATAGAATTATCACGTCTCGAGATTTAATTCCGTATGGCATGCTGTACATGGCTAAAGTATTGAACCACACTCTGACTGAAACGTTTCCAGGTACTCCTGAGAAGGACATATTGAAGGTTGTTGGCGATTTCATTTATTATCACTATATCAATGCTGCCATTGTTGCACCCGATGCATACGAGATTGTGACTCTAACAGTCGATAGATCACTTTCCAATGACCAGAGAAGAAATTTGGCTAGTATTGCAAAGATTTTGCAATTCGCTGCGTCGAAGAAAGGAGTAAGTACAGAGTCGAGATTTTTTTTTTTACAAACGTATTTTAATTAATTCAATTTTTTTTTTCAACACTTAGTTTGGTGAGGAAGCGAAACATCTTGTGTGTTTGAATCCATTTATTGTTGAATGTCATGAAAAATTCAAAAAATTCTTCCGACATTGCTGTCGTATCCAAGAACTTGACGAGCGCTTTAGTATGCACGAATACACGGAAGTTACCTTGATCCACAAGCCAGAGATTGCAATATCTCTTCAAGATATTTGCGATACTCACTGTCTGCTGCTTGATTACGAAGATCAGATAGCTCCGGATCGAGATGATCCTATTCATGAATTACTAGAGGATTTGGGCAATGCTCCGAGTGTAGCATCGTTAATTGGATTAAGTTAATAAATACATTTTGTATGTACTTAAAACTTAAAGTGTATTTCCAGCATTAATGTTTAAATTTTTTTAGACGAGACTGATGCGAATGAAACGAATGTCGCTCGAATAGCCAAAAAAGAAGTCTACCTTGTTTTAACGAATAAATTTGAGGTGCCTGACAGTGACGATACTAATTACAGCAGATTATTTATCAAGACGAAAGAACTGCTTGTGTCAATCATGGAATTTTTAAGAGGTGAAACTCTGGTCGAAGCATTAGAAACTGAAACGCTGGAATGCCTCGAAAATGCTTACGCCAAGAAAAATATGAATTTTGCTTTCAAAACGCTAGATTGCAACAAGTAAGTTTTTATTTTTATTTTTTTTTGCGCCTTTTTTTATACATACCATGTTTATTTCGTCAGCCTATCATTGAGCGATTGCAAACGTCAGCTCAACACATATCTGAACAAATTGCAATTGAGCGGACTTGTTGCTCGAGAAGACGGCTATCAAACGATCGTAACCGCGGTAGCCAGAGATTTATGCAATAAAAGCCACTACAGGGTTTTGAGAAGCAAAGAATTGAAGATGCTTCGTAGCACAAAGCAACGTTTGGTGGAAAAAGAGCATTATTACAGAGAACAAGTAAAATATTACAGCGAGTACATCAGGAGATGCTTGCAAAATCTCAATGCTGGAAAAGGGTATTTGTTGAAATCATACCGCAGCATGATTATTTAATGGTAGTTTTCGTATCTGGTGGCACCTGTCGCCAGGGCAAGCACCAGGCCTTGTGTTTGTCCTGGTTGGATGCGTACCAGGTGCGAATCCTGTTTTTCTTACCAAGGGCACACCCAACTTTAAAAAATGCCCGAGGTAAGAAAACAATTTTTTTTTCTAATGACATAGTTTTTATTTATTTTTTAGAACAATGCGTGCACTAAAGAATAGGGAAAAAAATGGTCACATGAAACTCAAGTCCAAGAATACTCTCAAGTATTCAGCTGCAAAACTTCAAGAAAAGGGCATTCTGCTCGAAATAGCAGGTTTGCCGCAGTCACAGTTCAAAAACGTAATATTCGAAATAACGCCTACGGGCAACGACGGAGTATTTACGGTGCGAGGTAAATTTATGGGCGTGGAGATGGAAAAAATTGAGGTTGATGTTACAAATTTGCTTACACTGCAATACGAGGGCTCGTCCATCATGAATATGTTTGGTAAAGCGAAGATCAATGTTAATTTATTGCTGTATTTACTTAACTGTAAATATTATGGTAAAAAATAGTATCACGAATCAATTGTCAAAGATGTGGAAAATCAGTTAACTTTTGTTATGTATTTTATTTGCTTTCTCATAATCAAATGTATTCGCACTATTTTAATTTTCTGGTCAAAGAAAATACCCTAATTATTGTATCAAATTTTTAAAAGGAAGTAGATCTAAGTTTTAAATGTAAGTGATTTGTCGATTGTGAAAGTTGAAAAAATTTGTAAAATCAATTATACGATATGGCGTTTCATTGATAAGTTTTCATGCGATATTTATTCTAGTTGTGTATGTGTATATCATAATTTTATATATTTTTATACATTCTTTTAAAATAAAAATTTTTACATCCATAATCTTGAAGTTTTCCGAAAGTTTCCCTCCAAGTAATATGTGTCACAAAATAATACAAAGGTTTTTATCCACTACGTATATTACTTTCTGAAATGTCTGCGCGACAGTACAGCAAATTGTTTACTTATATTATACAAAAAGTGGATTTTCACAAATATTGTTTTGAAGTTTAAAATTTTTTACATTATTTTGCTGCTCGCTTCAGCAACATACACAATAAAAAATACAATACATTTTATTTAAAAAATCACCTTACTTTGGATTTCAGTATTGGCAAATGACCCAAATGTTCACAATATTGATGATTTTTTGGATGATGTATTTTAAGCCAAGTCTAAAAATCAATGGTGGATCTGAAGTATTCGACAAGTAAAGGAGTGTTCGAAAGTTTATAGCGAATAGGAAAAATATAGGGGAATATTTGTTATGTCCTTGAGAAGCCGAAGTTTTTCCTTTAAAATTTCTAAAAAGCTTTGTTACCTATGTATTCATCAAGTTTTCTTAAAACGCTTTATGTACAAATTTCTACAATGAGATCCTTAAAAACAATTTTGTTTTAAGGAAACGACAAAATTTTTTCTGTATTTTTCGTTTTAAAGAAAGATATCGTTTCAGGAGCTTTATCATGTTCATTAAAATATATCTATAAAATTAACTGTTTTGATCGCTGTGCTATTGTTCTTCTGCAAGTCTTCTCCTCATCTGAAAATGGTATTCGGGTAAAGAAAAGTGACTATTTTTATAGACCTTTGGTTAATGATTTCAAAACCACTTAAGCGTTAGTTTTTTGCTTATAATTTTTTCCAAAATATTCGCAAATTATCGCTCCGAACCTCCCGATTTGCTGTTGTGAAAAATTTCTTATTACATGCAAAAGAAATTATGTCGTAAAAAATTATTCAACTTTTGTAATACTTACACAATGAAAAAAAATATATNACATGTAATTGTATAACTTTTTTTCCCTTGAAAAAAAATTTAAATACCGAAAAATCGGTTGGATTAAAAAAAAAAAAGAAGGAAACGTCAAAGATTACCGAACCGGTAACCTTTAATAATTTACTGGTGGATCCCGAGTTACCGAACAATGTGTATATTTATAAAGGTACTTATCGATTGCGGCTCGTCCGGTTTTAATTTACTATAATACAAAGGAAAAGCCCGCGCAGCTAAACAAGACGATTATTGACTCTATTATCGTGCCACCGCAGCTGCTTATTATTATTATTATTATTATTATTATTATTATTATTGTTATTATTTTAAGTTTTTTTTGTATTTTTGTTACCCTCGTACCATCATGTATTTAATCTACAATGTTGCATCATCCATAATGTTTCATTGAGCGTTTGAACTTGGTGAAGATTGAACGAAATTTCGGTTTTTCCGAATGCGACTGCCTCGTCAGAAATACCTCCTGGCCGGCAGAGGTGGTCATGACTCCTCGCCATTTATTTCTGTTGGGAAAAAAAAAAAAAAAAAAAAAAAAAATAAAAATAAAAACGAAAAATATTATTCCAATAAAATATCAGTAGATTGTCTCTTGAAAAACAAAATAGCGATAGTCAATGAGTCGTAAAAAATGACGCTCTGCGTTCGATGATTAGTCCAATACCGTAATATTAATTACTGTTATCGATGGTTAAGAACATTGGAAAACTGACGATATTTGGACTGCAGCTCAGGCATCTGTGCTAGGGCTTCTTCCATTATATTTCTAAGTTTTGCTAAATCTGGCAGTTTTTCGCATGATTCGATGTTTAAAAGCTCTGTAAAGTACTGTTCCCAAACGGCTTTTTTGGCATATCTTGGAGATGAAAATATAGAAATTTAAAAAATTTGTACACCGGTTTATTTACAATGAAAACTTCAATGAATTAAGCTTACGCCATATTTACCTGGGCAGTTTAGAATTGATGTACCACTTGTCTCCGCTCATCGAAACTCTCATGTAGTTTCCAAACAGAAGACAATGACTAGAGGCAGCTAGACAATACAAGTCAGTTTGATAAGTCCAAGGTTTTCCAGTCTGCATTTCAATACAGGTGAAATCTTCTGTTTTTATAATTTGTGTGAATTTTGTATCCTTTGGAAATAAACTCATATCTATACTGCAACCAAAGTCTATCAACTGAATCGTCGGTCTAACATCTTCGGAAGGCCTGAAAAATTCATGGCAAACAATAATAAAATAATATCCACAGAATTGAGATTACATCCCATGTAAAAGACGAGAGGAATACGTTACATGTGCATCAATAAAAAGTTGTCAGGCTTAATATCAGCGTGAATAATTTGATGTTTGTGCAGGTACTCGACAATTTGCAGCATCTCAATCGTGAAAAATATAGCAAGCGGCTCAACGAGAGGCTTACCCGTCGAGATTTTTATTTTGTTTGTCACCTCAAGCAACGTGCCGTATTTGGAAAATTCCGATACTAATACACTTGCATTATCAGCTATATAGGCAGTCTGAACGTCCATGAAACCCCTTAGCTAAAATAAAAATTTGGCGTTCGTAAATACTAATATGTAGTTTGTCGCGACGAAAAAAAGAAATTTACAAACCATGTGCGGATTAGTTAGTCTATTTTTTATCTCCCTAGTAATGTAGTACTCCCAAACCCAAGCAGGCTTCTGTGTTTTTAGTGCAATAACTTTTTGGCATTTTAAATCCGTACCTTTATATACGGTCCCGTATGTTCCTTTTCCAAGGCACTTATCCAAATCGTACATATCATTTCCTGACAACGAAAAATTACTCACGAGCATGAAAAATATAATTGTACAAAATATCAAAAACTAATTTAAATTCACTCACCAAGATTGATAGTACTAGAAGGCACAAATTTGACAAGATTGCCTGAAATCTTGACATAGCCATCCTGGTGGTGAGACTGAGGAAACTTGATGCTTCTCAGGAGCCCGGCAATAATAGTCTTGTCGAAAGGATTGATATCACCTTTAGGCAGTTCAAACGGCGGTTCTTCCTGCTTTGGCTCCTCTTCTTCCTCGGCCTGATCCATCGGCTCGTGGTACTCGCAGTCCATCGATGCATCCGTCTCTTGTTTCGCTTCTGTATCGTCGAGTGAAGGTAACGGAGGCTTTTCAGGGGGACTTGTTAAAGTCCCATTAAATTTGATGGACTTTCTTAGATCGCAGTTCGTCTTGATGTCACTTGTTATTTGATCGACGTTTCGCTGTACCGTCCGTGGACTTTGCGCGTGTACCGCCTGGATTTGAGCTCGCATCTTTTGCTCGTAGGCCGCGTGCTGTTGATTCTGCTCGTAGCTCATAATTTCAGGATTTGTTTGGTAATGATTCGTTGCCTCGTCAATTGTTGACTGCTCTTTTATCGTTGGTAAGTCTTCACGAGTTATCGTGAAACCAGTTCGAGTATTGGCACTACTGGCTGAACTATTGGACACGTACTCTCTCGTTGATTCCATTATCACACTCAGTTTTTCTTCCGATGCAGGAGCGGCGGCAGGCACAGGTTGAATTCTTCAAGGAGATGGAAAAAAAAAAATCTTATCAAAAAACATACGTGTATCTTACAACAAGTTACTTACGATGGTTGTGAAACAACAGGTTGCTGCTGAGGAGACTGTTGTTGTTGAGGCTGGTAGTGATGATGCTGCTGCTGTAAATGCGGCTGTTGGAATTGTTGTTGATGCGGGTGATGCAGTGGCATATCTTTGGGTGCCTTGGGGTATAATTTAAAGTGGTTGGTCACAGGAGTGGAAGCCACAAGGGGTCGGTTGAATGTCTCCGTGTAACAGGATTCGTTGACACCTTGTAGAGGCGAAATACCCAGGCTTTCATCTACAAGGTTCTCATTCTGCTGGTGGTGTTGTTGATGCAAGTGCGTCGGGACCTGCTGTTGCTTAACAACGCTGTCCTCAAAACCAGCATTATATCCAAGTTCTATCGCGTTCTCCTTGTTCTCGGCATTCTCGAGATACTTGAGATCACGTCTGTTCATTCCTGGGGATTTAATGTGCGGCAGTTCGAGAGGCATACGGTAGGAAGACGATTTGCCGCTGCTATTGTCGGTGCATGGTTCAACGTAGCCTGGTGAATAGTGTACCTGTATAAAATTACATGTTGTACAAATTTTTAATGAAATTAGACATACATTTTTGTCACGCAGATGCATCGAAAAATCAATATTTAATGCTTGCCTGCTTTGGCTGTTCGAGGCTAGTGTGAGCCATTTGAACCAGAGGAACTGGATATGGTTGTACTGGATAACTCATAATATTTGGCACATTATTATACGCGTGATGCTGAGGTGATGGTTGTTGATGCGGAGAAACGTGCTGATGATTATGAGAATGCTGCGAAAGTAATTGAGGATGTTGAAAATGATGCTGTTGGTGAGGGGGAAGAGGGTGATGCTGAAGGTGTTGAGATGTATTCATATGACTCGAGGTGTTCATATGCTGCGAAGTGTTGATATTCGCCGTGTGATTCATGTGTTGAGACGTATGCGACGCATTTATATGCTGAGACACATTCACGTGTTGCGATATGTTTATGTGTTGAGAGACATTCATGTGCTGCGGCGGCATATGCTGTTGATGGGATGGAATATGCTGATGAGAAAGCTGCATGTGCTGCTGGGGATAATGATGGTGAACCGGTGATTGTTGGTGCATGGCGTGGGGTGATACTTGATGATGCGACATCTGATGTAGCACTGGCATATTCGGAGACGACACTTGATGTTGATGATGATGCGGCTGCTGGTGCTGTATAAGGGCTTGATGATGGTGGTGGGGATGATGAGGTGACTGCAATAGCTGATGATGTTGGACTGGCTGTTGTATTGGGTAATGGTAGGAATTTTGTAGACCAGAGTGATTCCCAGAATGATACGAATCTCGATGCTCATATGAATTGTGATAATGATTCTCTTGATCGTTCAAAGCCGTCATGGTTCCATAATTCTGCTGCTGCTGATGCATCTTGTTGTTTACCATCACATTTTGAGTCATCGAACTGTCCATATGTATGTCAAACGAGAGCTTGTTTCTGGGCTCAGATTGCAGTCTATGCAAAACAGGGCTAGGCATTATACGGCTGGTGTTGCCGGGTGACTGCCATAAATCTTGAACGGCACTGATCGCTTCTTTCGTATTGACAGTCATGCTTTGACCAAGTAGATGCTGCTCATCCGTAGCCGACGAGTGATGTTGACCGAGGTAGCCGGAATTTTGAAGACTTTGATGTTGATGCTGGTGGTGTCGTTGTTGTTCAAACATCATCTGACGCTTCATTTCAGCTTCATGCAATCTTTGTTGTTCTTGTTGTTCCTGCTGCTGACGTTGGCGTTCTATAATTATTAACAATATACAAAGTTAAGAACCACCAACGAAATACTTGATCGTTAAATACAATGTTTAAAATTTAATATTACCTAATTCAGCTTCTTGTTGCTGATGCTCGATTTGCCTTTGCCTTACCAACTCGGCTTTTCTTTGTTGAAGTTCCAAAAGCCTTTGCTTTTCCATCTCAGCTTCTTTTAGCTGCTGCTGCTCCACAATCCTTTGTCTCTCCAACTTGGCCTCTCTCTGTTGCTGCTCACAACTTTGCTCTTGCACGTCTCGTTGGTCGAAATCTTGACTCATTTGATTATCATTTGGCATTTGCTGTTCCATTTCATTATCTTTAGACATGGAATGTTGATTCAAGTTACTGATATCTGTCGCTTGTCCACTAGATGCTGAATTTTTGTGCCTCTCCAAATACCTTTGAGCTCTGATTTCTTCCATACTTTTATCCTCATTATTAGAATAAACTAAGTCTTTGGGGTAGTGCGGTTTTAATATGATATTTGGATGAAGTGCATCTGGGACAAATATAGGTACCGAAAAATCGTATTTACTATCATCGTAAAATGAAATATGATTCGGAAACAATTTGATTTTATCATTTACGATTTCCTCGGTATCTTCATGGACTGAAATGAAATTGTCACATGTAGAAAAATGATTTGGCAAACGATTCTTAATGCATTCTATGATTATCAAAGTTGTGTTAACATACCTTTAAATGATGGTTTGACAGCTGACGATATCAATACACCTTTTCGAGCATGATTACTCCAAGGTCCAGGCTTAAGCATATTTTCCTTGTGAATAACCTCCTCAATAGGAACGTGATCTAATATACTAGAGCCTTTCATTTCACCAGGCATGTCATCCTAAATTGATTTCAGTGAAAATGATATTACCAATAATTAATTTGATGATTCGACATATAATTGTTTATGCTAATAAAAATTTTACCTGGTATATTTGTATAGGTGCATTTGACTTGTGAGCTGGATTCATTGGACCAGCTTGTGGCAGCACACCTGGTGTATAACCGTGTATGCGATGCCCTGTTCTTACGCTACCCACTTTTTTCCCTGCTTTGATAGCCTTTAAAGAGCTAAAAGCTTGTCGTTGTTCGGCTAAAGAAACCTCGTTTCTGTCGTCATTGCGTCCCAAAGTTTTTCGAGCTACAGCCAATTGAAAATTTCTACGAAAATTAAATTAAATCGAATTTTAATGACAATTGTCGATTAGTTTTTTAAAGGCAATCCGTACATACTTGTGAGCGTGATCCAATTCGTCTTTCGGTTCAGCTTGGCATCTTAAACCTATCATGTAGACTTCATCCGCTTTTTTATAATCTTGCAACAGTTCCAATTCAAATGCCCACGCACGATATAAATCCGCAACCATCGTTCCAATTCCATTGTGATAAAGCATTTGATACAATTCTAAAGGGTTTTTTAGAGCACTTATCTGTAATGGAAATATTTTTTCAAGATAATATTTTGCTACTCGTGATTTTAATTTTTTTTTCATATAACAGTGGTATTTACATGATTAATCCACAGTCTGATAAACCTACGATCTTGATGATACTTTGTTTCTTTTTCAAAATTTGTTAAACACTGCTGTAAAAGTCTCGACAAAAGAGACCCATGCCCTCCTTTGGGGTAGCTCTGCTCTACCCATAAAATATATTCGTACCAATTTTCTAATGGATCGTCCCCCACATAATTTTTAATGGCATCCTCATACACCCTAAAACAATTAAAATTGAAAAATTGAAAAAGAAGAAACGAAACCGAACTTCATATATTAATGATAACAGGATTAAAATAGTAATAATAATGATGATGAAGATAATATAATGATTTCAGTACTGTCTTTTTTGCTGGAGCAACTGCTGAGTTTCTGCATCTTCTTGAGCTCGTAGAGCAGTGCCAAGCTGCACTGGATTTCTTCCATGCCTTAAAGGCTGAATATTTTCTTTGCAGAGAGTTATAGTGGTCTGGAGATCCATTTTCTTACGTTAAAATACTTTTATACATCCTTGAAAAATAACATCTCATTATTATGAGTATTATGGCTCATTATGTCAAAATAAATATTAATACTTTCATTGGTTTAAAAAAATTTAGATATCAATAACAAAAAATAAAAATTGATGAAAACCAATTAGGCATTCATTTTGCACATGAGCTTCTAACTTAGAAAACAGGTAAAAATTGTATTTTTGTATGCCCAAAATGAGTGGAAAAATAGGATTCACCAGACACTACAAAATAATTCAAAAGAAATCTCATGCCCCCCTTTTAAACATTGTAATCAGATACACGTTTGTGTATATATGCTTAACTGAACTGCAACACTGGTGAGAACACACTAGGATTTATAAAATATATTAATGGCCCAAAAATGTAAGAACTCTAAGAACAACGACAGGGCAACTACTTAAAAATAAATTTTATAGTTGCAATATTTATGCTACTTCATTTGTTGGAGACTTACTTAAAACCGCAAACAGTCAGATATATGACGATCTGAGTCTGCACGTCCTGATGACGATACATGCACAATCCTCGAGGATGCAGAGTCTGAAAACTGTACCAAAGTTGTGAGTACTCAAGTACTTACTTACTTATGCGTCACTGCGTGAGAAAGCAGCGTAGCACAGCACAGAAAAACTACAATATTTGAAAAATAGAAATATAGGTAGGCATTATATATTTACGTTTACTTGGAGTAGATAGATATACAAGTACCTATCAAGGGGCTTTCGGTGCCGTCGATGGTCACTGGTCACACTGGTCACTGGTCAGTAATGATCGATGATGTCGATGTCCAACGTCCGTCAGCTACTTATTTGTATTTCTGATTCAGTTACAGATCCCCAGTAACATTAAAATTAAGACACTCACTACTCACTGACTTTGCACCTTGAGTACTTATTTGTGATATGATACTCATACGTATGTATTATTAAAATTACCTCGTACCTTTAACCTTATGCTATATGTGTGCAAGTAGTGGCCTAATGATGAATAGAATGGCAAAAACTGGCAAAAGGAATGCCTGCTAGGTTGTGCACAGAAGGACAAAGGCAGAAAATAAATTAAGCGAATAAAAGTAAGGATGCTGCACTTGCTGTTACAGAGATCAATGTTTCAAGGTTACAACTTGGGGCTGGAATTGAAAATTAATTTGACATTGCTACAAGTGCCAAAGTAAAAGGACCAAGTGCTTATAAGCGCAACAATAACAAGGATACACTAGGTTAGGTACATGTTTCACGGTAATCACAGTTGACTGCCAAGTTCGTGCCAACCAAAGGTGCCAACCTGCCTACATTTGTAAATTAAGATGCAGACACGCAGATGAGGTAGAAATTCTAGGGACAGCAAGTTTGTCTGGTGGTACAATTTTTTATCGTCGGTGTTACATTATATATATAGTGATATTTTTCTTTCAAAACAATTAGGGGGGGGGGGGTGTAAGGTATTTTCATTGTTACCCATTGCTGGTAATAACATTGAAGATTTGGCAAAAATACACAACCGGGAAATAATTCGTTCCCCACAAAATTCAAATGCTTATTTATTTATTTATTATTTATTGTACTAAAGTTTTGTCAACGCTACACGGTCAGTCAGGGTCAGTAATGGTACATAAAACCTACGCCTGTATATACTTGAATGAACGGGCTCGCTGGATTGTCACAAATCGAATTAAATCTATTAAAATCCAACTCAATGCTTGAACAAACCTACATAAAATGCATTGCAGACACAACCGCAGTCTTGGGGTTAAACATTTAATGTTACTGGATCATTGATCCACACGAGTGTAACTGTATATTTCTTAAAAATACAGTGATAAGTTGTGATAATTGTTAGAGACTAATTTTTTATAATTCATTCAATTTGTTTAACTTTTTTTCCAGTTGCTTTTCTACTCAACGAAAAAAACAATGTTTTGCAACCTGCTGCCGAAATAATAGAAATGAATAGAGAAAAAAATGATGATCTATTTTTTGCAATTTTCCTGACAAAGATTATTAAAAAATACCATTATAAATTTTTATATCATTATTTTATTACTTACTACATTCCTACAAAATTGTTGCTTCTTTGGAAGATGGATTTAAAGCTGCATTGTGTCTCAAATAACATAATTTCGTATTTTGTTATGAAACATTTAAACTGCAAAGATTATTTTGTTGATGAAAATTTATACGTTTTGTGTAACTGGAAATCTGGTGATGAATCAATTACAATGTTTCACTTGTGCAATAGATTTTCTTCAAAAAAATACTCAGTATTTGTTATTTTTACCAATGAAATCGAAAAGAATTGTGTTTATGTGTCTGAAAGCATGAAATTCAACATAACAAACCATTTAAATTTAAAAAATTCAAATTCCTCCACAGGCTATTTTTTAGGTAATTATTGTTCAACTAATTTTGTATTTTTTTTAATTACCTGGACGTATTTTATAATTTTTTTTGTTTGTTTTTAGTTGCAGCAGACAGAAAATTCATGTCATTTGCATCAGAAATGAAAATATCACTGATTTTTAATCCTTATGATTCCACCAACAATCTTATAAATATTTTATTGCAAAATTATTTTTCTACTCCAAAGTATCTTAGAGTAAATGATATTTTTACAGTCGATATAAAAAATCACGCACCAGAAATCAAGTACTCCACATCAGATTCAAAAGTGAATGTACTACATTTTAAAGTCAAATCACTAAAGGCTAAAGAAAATGATTTTACTGTTTATGGAAGTTTTATTGTTTATGGGCAAACAACTTTGATTCAAGAAACCCACATACACAGCTACCTCCCGCAAAAATGCCTGTGTCAAATTTATTTAAACAATCAGATACATTCTTCTGGCAGTTGGCCACCTGCTCTAAAAGAGTCACTGAATCAGCTACAATCTTGCATAGCTCCGTTTATGCAAAATAGTAATTCTATAATAAATAGATAAAATTTCAGTCATAAATAATTTCGACAAACTATTGAAAAATAAAAAATAAATTAATTACAGGCTCGTACATTAACATCAAGCCAATATTTCTCGTAGAAGGTTCAAACGGTAGCGGCAAACGTCGACTTATAAAAACGGCAGCCAAAAGTTTAGGTTTACATTTTTTAGAAGCTGACTTGGCTGAGGTCCAGTCGCTATCATCTGCTCAAACCGAAGCTAAATTACGAATTATTCTTCACAATGCCGAGACGTGCGTTCCGTGCTTATTGATGCTTCAAAATATCCAGGTACTTGCCTTTCTGGCTGAATGTACAGTCTCAGAAACATTTTCTTTTTTTGACTCTTGAATAATCCTGTATTGAATTTTTAAACTGCTACAGATTTTCGGTGTTAACGCTGAAGGGCAAAAAGACGAGCGAGTTCTCGCCACTTTTGAAAGTTATGTGAATAAACTGTACAGTGAAAAATCAAAGTACCCCGTGATAATCGTCGCAACGTCTACGGATTCTGAAATTCCAATTGACGTAGATAGAACGTTTGTTGAAAAAATTGTTATTGCCCATTTGAAGCAGGAACAGAGATCAGAAATACTGTCGTGGCACATGAAAAGAAAAGGGATAAAGTACGACGTGGATTTGCAAAAAGTAGCCGCGATTTGTTCAGATTTTGCATTGGCCGATCTTGAAGCCCTCGTCATGCATACCACCAAACGACTTTTCCACAGCAAGGACTCGTTCGAAGGAACAAGCCTAGTTTTATCAACCGAGGACTTTAATCATGCGATCGGTAAATACTCGTTAAAGTCAATATGTATACATAAGAGTATGTCCATACCAAAACAAGTTAGTAGTCTGTAGATTTTAATGCTATTTCCTTCAAAAATACTTTCCTCAGAGCACATGCAGTCCGCATTCTCGGACCAAATCGGAGCGCCTCGCGTACCAAAAGTCCATTGGGAGGATATTGGGGGTCTGGCCGATCTGAAACGCGAAATTACACGCAGAATCGAAATGCCCCTGCTCATGAACGTCACCTCGGGTCTCGGCAGATCCGGTCTTTTACTGTATGGACCTCCGGGAACTGGGAAAACCCTTCTCGCCAAGGCAGTGGCCACCGAATGCCAGCTCCACTTTTTGTCAGTGAAAGGACCCGAGCTGCTCAACATGTATGTCGGCCAGAGCGAGAAAAACGTCCGTCAAGTGTTTGCGCGAGCCAGAGCCGCGGCCCCGTGCATAATATTCTTCGACGAGCTAGACTCCTTGGCGCCCAAGCGCGGTCAGAGTGGTGACAGCGGGGGTGTAATGGACCGCGTCGTCTCGCAGCTGCTAGCCGAAATGGACGGGCTCGAGAACGCGGGTGGCGTGTTCATAGTAGGAGCAACAAATCGACCGGACCTACTCGATCCGGCTCTGTTACGACCTGGTCGCTTCGATAGAATGCTATACGTGGGCGTCTACGCAGAGCCGGAGTCCCAGTTGGGTGTGCTTAGAGCCCTTACGAGGCGCTTCAACTTGGAGGAGCACGGAGAAGAGCTGAAGAAGCTGCTTGCCGAGCTTCCTGAGAACTTGACCGGGGCTGATCTATACTCCGTGTGCTCCGGTGCTTGGCTCAGAGCCGTTCGGAGACTCTTGACCCACATAGAACCGAAGAATCAAGAAACGTTTTGTGGCCAAGACGTCGTTGTCAAATTGGAGGATCTTCTTTGTGCCAGTAAGGATCTTGTACCTTCGGTTAGCAAGGAAGAGTTGCTGCGCTATGAAAAACTTAGAAATGAATTATTACCTGTGAGGTGATTTTTCTTGGGCTGTGTTGAGTTGTTGTTTGTTTTTTTATCTATTTTTGAAGTCATTATAAATATTTTAATAATAAAAAAATAACACAATATTTATTTAATCTTTGCAATGTAATATCTATTTTCAAGAAACTCAGACAATAATTTTTACAAACAACCATTAAATTAGAAAGTTTTTAAACTTTCTCATTATATTTCACTACATGTATAATTGATACCTAAACTACACAGGTGATTGTTTTGTTAAATTTGTTGCTCGAATCTTTTAAGGCCTTGCATTATTGATTTACTTAATTATTACAATTGTCTCTATTTTATATATTTTTTCGTAACATACTTACATACGACTTGTTACAGAATGCGTAGGAGAATAAATTATTAAACGTAGAAAATTAAAATGGCACACGTATTAGCTATAGCGTGACACTTTTCAATTTCTTTTTTCAATTAAATTTTCAAGTGTTGACCAAACAAAAAATGTACATGCCAGCAGCACATATAATTCTTTACAAATACCACGAATCTCTTTTCTTTCTCGTTCTACGTGTGCAATGTACTATTTCTTGTTTTTTCTTAAAATATTTTAGTGAATTTATAGAATTATCAAATGAACTTTTTTTTTTGTATTCGATTTCGCTTTTTGAATTGTTTAAAATTTCTTTCATAAAAACTGTCAAAGAGAGATGCTATTTTTTTCCGTTGGTAAATCATTGAATAAATTTATCGATTCAAATTAATGAATATAAAAGTATGGTAATAATCTTTTGATTTTTTCGTAAATAATTTACAGAAAAAAATTCTGAGATGGTAATTTTTTGTATATTTTAGGGTGTACCTATTTAATAATATATATGTGATATAGCTCATTCTCGTAACTGAAAATAACATTTAATTTTACAATACATGTACTCTATACATTTTTTCGCCTTAAATGTCTAAATATTCTTCTAATGATCGAAAATAATTAGAATAATTGAAAATTGATTACGTGTCGAGTATTCATACCATTACTCTATCAAACTTTTCTTCCTTTTACATTTGACTACTTATGTACAACATACAGTTTTTAAATACAATGGTTACAAGGTACATTAGTGTTTTAATTTTCGATTTTAAAGTACAAAAATATTCAATTTTTTCCAAAATCTAATGTGAGTTATTTACTTTTGTTTACATTTGAATATAATTTTTTTCCCTATTGCACTAACTTGTTTAACACAAAAAAAATCAATAATTGCATTGAGAAACTTTCGCAAATTTATGAAAAATTAAAGCTAAAAATAAATTATTTCGTTAGATGTTTCTTATTTGCCTCAAGCTAACGATGTTGCAATCTCTGATGCAGAATTGAATTAAAATGATCAAATCGGCAATATTTTCTTTCCATAAACAAGTACAAACTTACTTGAATATGTAACACCAAGCGAGACTTATACAATCGTTGAAAATAAAATCAACAAACAAATTTTTTTATAATTTTCAGTATAAATTAATATTGCAAATTTACTAAATAATTTAATTTAACTTAAATTCACAACAAGAAAAGTAATAAACTGTTAATCAGTAGGAATAATTAATTATTAAGCATTATTTTGTTCACTAAAAGTTATTATGAACGCGTTATCCAGAAGATTAATTTTTACGTTTTACAGAAACAGCCACTAGCACACTATAACTAAACACGTAATGAATTCAAAGTACCAAAGAAATCACTATTTCCTAATTGGGGTGTTTTTCTTTAAATTTAGTCGTTTACTGTAGGTACCCTCGTTAAAAAAAATATTACCGATGCGCATCTAGTTAGGTAGGACAATTTTATAAGATGACTTACAGTTGCGCCAATTACGAAATTTACTACCGATCCGTCCGAAGAAATAACAATGAAAGAAAGTTTTTTATATCATGATTACACAAATATTGGTTTTGTACTATATAAATTAATTCTGAATAGCTTAACAAAAAAAAACAAAAAAAAGAAAGAAAGAAAAACAGTAAACAATTAATTGAACAATAATGTTCGTAAAATATTTAACTATACAAAATTCTTTATTTGAACACTAGATGGTTATTTAAAAATATAGTCTCGAAAAGACTTTTCAAAACAGATTTCGTCGAGGTGTTTGATTTATCGCTTCAGTTGTGATTTTATTGATTCGATTTCTCTAAGAGTAATTACATAAATAATAAGATTTGTTAAATTTTTTGATGTTTATCATAATTTTTAATCGCGATATTTGAGCTACGATATTTTTCAAAATATACACGTACATACACTATAGCATCAGTTTGATCTCGTATGGCGAATGTCGAGTTTGTTAAAATGACCTTATCATCCACATAATAATACTAGATCCGTATATATCGACAATCGCTTCGTGGGAAAAATAATATATTGGTGGAAAATTCAAAAATATAACAATCAAACAAATTCGATAAGAGGGTATAATAATTGTAACCTTTACCTCGAAAAAATCAGTCTTACTCAACACTTCCCCGTTTATGTTGTTTTGAATATTATATTTAATACAATAGACAGCCACCTTTCACACGTTTACACATCAAGAATTCGCGCGCACTTGCATACATATTTATATTATTGAAAATTTACGACAACGGTAGCTCGGGATCCTTAAATAATAATAATAATTTTTTTCATTTTTATTTAGGTGGCCATGGTCAAGTTAGGTAATGAAGTGACAATGGCCCAAAGTCTGTTTGATAAGTACATGCTAAGCGGAACTCCGAGTTTATTTACAAAAAAAATCGTCAGACACTTGTATACAAATGAAGAATTAGCTAAAAGATCAATTTCAGGAAATGCCGTAAACANAAAAAAAAAAAAAAAAAAAAAAAAAAAAAAAAAAAAAAAAAAAAAGGGATTTGATTTATATTAAACTCATTATAGATAGAGGAAGCACGAGCATTTACCAATTTGGGCTCGTCCCATCATTACAAGAGGAACTTTAAGCAAGCAATGACCTATCACAAGAACGTGCTCAGAATAGCGCGAGAAGTGGGCGACAAGGCCATGGAGGCTCGAGGTTACGCCGGTTTGGGTCACGCAACACGTTGCGCAGGTTGTGTACTTTTTATACTTAATACCAAAAACGCTACGGGTGTCGTTAAACTTACATTATCATCAGCATGTTACTCATGTACGTACATAATAACATGAAAAATGCACGCTCGTTGTCTCGTGTGTATAGGCGATCTGCAACAAGCCAAATTGTGGCACCAACGTCAGTTGGACATTGCGCTAACGACCAAGGACAAGACCGCCGAAGGACGAGCATGCAGCTGCCTCGGGATCGTGTACCATCTAATGGGTGACCACGACGCGGCTCTCAAGCTACAATTGTCGGCGGAAGGGATCTTTCGCGCTCTCGGGGACAAGGCAAGTGTTGGCCGGGCCTGTGGTAATATCGGAAACGCTTACAACGCGCTTGGCTACTACGAGCAAGCGATCCAGTATCACAAGATGGAACTGGCCATTAGCAAAGAGGTCGGTGTTGCTTTGTATATTCTCAACGGAATTGCATTGATTGTTGGGAAAAAAAAAAAAAAAAAAAAAAAAAAAATACAGTCCCACTGTTTGATCCATTTACGAAGCAAATAAATAAAGGGGTATAATAAATTCTACCTATGGTGTGGACGTACCTGCAGGTCAAGAGGACTTCTGGGCAAACTCGTGTAGTATGTCGCAGGCCATTTCTAGGTCGTTCCTCGTGATGCCGAGAGCTCGGACGACGGCATCCTGGGCGAAGCCAAGGGCCACCAACCTGGATATGTGCTCGACGTTGATGTTCTCGTAGGCAGCGCCCTCGGGAATCTTGGGCGCCGGCCGGCCGCCCTCATCCTCGGCCTCGTCGTCGTCTTTGTCCCTCATGAGGGCGGTCAGCCGTGCCCGGTTGCCGTCAAAGTTGATGTTTTTGACGACGTGCTGCCTCGTGCCCGGGATGATGATGGTGTTCTCGTACAGATGATCCTGCGAGTCCTTGCTCGGGCCCTTCGATGGCCGGGGAGCGCACGCGGGTAACGGTGGCGGGGACGGCGGTGGTTGCGCCGGAGGAAGAGGCGGCGTCACCAATGGAACCAACTGCGACCCGGAACTCGACGACTGTTGCTGCTGAGACGACGAGGATTTGTCTGGCAGCGGCCGCTGACCTCGGGAGCCGTGAGGCCGGATTGGCATGGCCGTTCTGGATGGCGATGTCGCGCCGTGCAGCATGTCGTACCTCGGCGCCTCGGTACTTCCTGTGGGGAACAACCATCACCCAATACGTGTGTGTTATTTACAAAGCGGTGGTGCACCGACAAATTTTTTTTTTTTTTTTCGAAAATGAACCCATATGCGTCATCTCCAACACAAAAATCGCGAATCATTACTGCGTAAAATTACACGTGATCCCCCGATTCATCAAGATTTCAGGCTGTCGATCTTATAATTTGCGGGATATACACGGTCATAACTGTGAGGTGGTGGAAATTTCAAAATCAGTCTTTAAAACAATGTTACACAATACCTTTGTTATTGTTGTTGTTGGCGGAGGTGGAGGTGGTGTTGCCGTGGCTGCTACTACTGCTGCTACTGCTGTTGTTGTTATTGTTGTTAATGGTGGTGGTATTGTTGCTGCTGCTGCCGTTGTTCAACACATTGGCATCACTGGGAGTCGAAAGTAAAACAGTGACGGGTGGTAGGGCCAAGGATGGTGGCTGATGGACAGCCGGGGAAGCAACCAGAGCCTGATGTAGCTGGGAAATCGGCGATGAGGGTGGTGGCGTCGGTGGAGGTGGCGCTATTTCTTTGGGCACAGTGAGGTGTCTGTGGTTCCGTGGGTGTCCGTTGTTCGAGGTGGGCGAGGATCGCCGTGGTGGTAAGGGCGGACACGGACCAACCTGACGCGCGGCCAGTGGCGAGTCCGCCGGTGATGACTCCTCGTCCTCGTCCTCTTCCTCCTCTTCCTCGTCATCCGTGTCGTTTGAGCCGCAGTTGTCGTTTATCAGCTCCATTATCTCCTGCGAACAGAGTTTTACCGTGTTTCTCACGTCATTTAATAAGTAGTTGCGAAACATTTTTCTCGTTCACTCAAATGACAAAAAAGACTTGCGTTTTTTCATATTAATACTTTGTCTAACTTAAAGGACATAAAGATATTCGTGGAATCTACACATTGTACATACATGATGGCAACTGTAATAAACTTGAATTACTTACTAAAATTGGGAAGCTTAAGCAAACATAGATGGGTATTTTCAGTATTACTCAACAGTTGGTATTTTTAATATTCACAAGGACAAGCCGAATTGCATAGCTGTAATGCAAAAACATAAAACGACTAACTGTACATTTTGGACAACTTACCTTCCGTTTCATTAATTTCAGTGGCCCTTTATTGGTTTTCATGAATTTGAGCACATTTATATTCGATTGATTTTCTCATGCAGCTAAACAGAGCTAATTCATTGACAAACATCTCAAGTCATACTATACAATACATTTTTTCATTGATACTCAATAGGAATGAAACAAAATTTTTAATAAACCCATGCAGGCAAGACAAAAATAATAATAATAAAGCAACATATATGTCGTTAACAGCATTTATTTTCAATTTCGGAAATATTTTATAATTGTTTTTTAATAAATGGTTTCACATACATTGCATTTTTTTATTTGAACACTAGATGGTTATTTAAAAATATAGTCTCGAAAAGACTTTTCAAAACAGATTTCGTCGAGGTGTTTGATTTATCGCTTCAGTTGTGATTTTATTGATTCGATTTCTCTAAGAGTAATTACATAAATAATAAGATTTGTTAAATTTTTTGATGTTTATCATAATTTTTAATCGCGATATTTGAGCTACGATATTTTTCAAAATATACACGTACATACACTATAGCATCAGTTTGATCTCGTATGGCGAATGTCGAGTTTGTTAAAATGACCTTATCATCCACATAATAATACTAGATCCGTATATATCGACAATCGCTTCGTGGGAAAAATAATATATTGGTGGAAAATTCAAAAATATAACAATCAAACAAATTCGATAAGAGGGTATAATAATTGTAACCTTTACCTCGAAAAAATCAGTCTTACTCAACACTTCCCCGTTTATGTTGTTTTGAATATTATATTTAATACAATAGACAGCCACCTTTCACACGTTTACACATCAAGAATTCGCGCGCACTTGCATACATATTTATATTATTGAAAATTTACGACAACGGTAGCTCGGGATCCTTAAATAATAATAATAATTTTTTTNAAATATAGTATATAATATCAAGTAATAAATTTTAATCAAGAAAAATGATGAGAAACTTTAACAGACCAAATAATACATATAAAAAAAGAACAACACTATATCTGATTTTGCCAAATAAATCTTATATACATTCAGTATTTTATGATGTAAGGTCCAGTCAAAGTGCATTGATTATTTTTCCTTAACAAAAAATATTTCAAGTTACCCCACGAAAATTTTATCCTAAATAAGTAGCTTTTTACACATTAAACTTAATTATTAAAAAAAAATCATTACTTCATCTACAAATATTTTAGTAATACTTATGGTGTATAAGATTTTTTTTTACCTACCTTAAACTCGAATGTAATTATGCGCAAAATTCAACGCCAGTTGAAAAATATACACGCACTCAATAATGGCTAATATTGTGATTGATCATCGGACTGAGAGCGCAGTGTTAATATCAAGTATAATTTTGTACACTTTACATTGAAAAGTGTTATTTATTTAGTTATTTTTTTTTTTACAGCAATATCAATCGTGGCGGGCGAGAAAAAGCTAATTTAGATTCTAGTTGTAATTTATACATCAACAGCCAATCAATAGTCAAGTTTCAAAAATATTTCAATATTTAAAATAATTTCTTTTGCAATCGTATATAGATACAGGGGTGATACAAAGTTTGAAAAAATATTTTTTTCTAAGCAGCTTTTTGCATAACTAAATTAGCTCTATTTAAATGACAGTCTCTTTCTTGACCGCAACCATCGATATACAGAGTTGAAAGCCAATATTTTGCAAACATCCAAGTAATCGAATACTTTTCATTGCTGAAAATTAGTGTGAAACTTTACAAATGTATTGATGATTCTAAATGATTAACTAGATGGAAGAAAATTTAGAATGAAACATTTTTTGCTATTAAAACTTTTAGTCGGTCAGTGAACCATCTTGCAAAAGTTTGAACATTTAATTAATTTTATTACATTACAAAATAATTAAAAAACTGGAAAATTAATTTATTTTGAAAGGAAATTAAAATATGGATGAGATGAATGAATAATTTAATCGATCAATGGAATCCGTAAAAATACAAGCTTTCAATGAAAAATGTGTTCTCGCACACGCACACGCATAATAATCAACAGTTTTTATTTGTATGAAAAAAATGTTTTAATTTAATGATCGTGTGCTTCATTTATGAATAAATGGTTTCGACGCGACGAAATACTTGATTTTTATTAATTTAAATCAAAATTTTTTTCTGATGTTTGCATATAAATCGAAAAAAAATTTTCATTTTTGTTTAATTAGTTAAATATTAAAGGCGATTGTAATTGAACACTTTCCAAACAGTATAAAAAATATGTTTTCAATAATGCATTTATTACACGTGACACTCATATCATGCTATTTTTAATTTATAAAATAGTACCCTATTTGTACAAAATTTCAACATTCTTACATGTACGTTGCATTATAAAAAAACTCAGTCGATTACAAAACATAAAACTAAATTTATTGATTAGTCTAAAAGTTTCTACAGCCAAGTTTATCACGCAAGACCTTTCATTCGTCTTAAAACTCATTCTGCGCAATTAAATTCATGAAAAAGAATAATATGACCGATTTTTCTCCTGCTTTAGAAAGTGTTCACCTACGTGCGACAAATACATAAAACTACAAGCGTAACGCGCATACATGTACAAACAAAAACAGATAAAAACGTTGCGTAGGTATTAGCAAAAATCAAGTCAGTAGCAAAAAGGCGTAAAAAAATTTGTGCATTCCTCAATGCTCGCAAGGGAAAAGATGCACGCATGGCGCGAGGCAAAGAATAGAAGAAGAAGAAGAAGAAGAAGAAGAAGAAGTAAAAGATGCTCAGCTATATAGGTATATGTATAAATATGTAAAATATATTCAATCTGTTGGCGTGCTCGCTGTGCGACCTAGTCGGATACCTCGGTGTCGGGGTCAAGGTCCTTAGTGGGCGTCGAAGCGTTGCTAGCAGTCACAGATTGGGCGCCAGTCCGGTGCATCCGTCGCGGATCGAATGGGTCAACGACTATTTGCTCGGTACCTTTGATCTCTGCTCGACAGAACGGGCAGCCTTGGCCTTCCGAGTCCTATGCGTTAAAATACCGATACGAATTAAAAACACGCGATCACATGTTGCATGATGATTTTTTATTTTGCGTACTGTTTTATTTCAACGAAAATTATTTTGCGAGAGGGCTAATTTATTATAATATTAATTGAAAAAAAAAAAAAAAAAAAAAGCTAACAACCATGTAATTATATAGTTAAGCGTATCGTTTATCGTAAGTATTATTATTACCTGCCAAGCTGTGAGACAAGGCGTGCAGAGCAAATGACCGCACGGTTCGATCCTGACGTCTTTGTCGTGTTCGGCGCATATCTTGCACAACTGGAAAGTACTGCCCATCTCGCAGTAGAGCTCGTACTGCTCGGCAGTGACCTTTATGTGTTCCTCCGGCGTTGGCTGGACCGCCCACGTGAGATCCGGATTTTGGCTCCTCCCGTCCGGATACAAATAACTAAAATTTTCAGGATACGACTTATTTGTCATGCCTGTATCAAGTATATTAGTGGGCACGGTTGCATTTTTTTTAACTTTTATCTTTAACAAACATACTTATCATTATGAGTTCCTCGAGCATTGGCTAACGTAACGAACCAACGATGAAAGATAAACAGCAAATAAAAAACGCAACCTTACGTAAACTAATGACAATGGTCCTAATGATTGTACAAGCCACAACAATTTACTACAGTAGAATGAATCAAATTCAAGCATAATAAAATTTAATTATAATGGAACACGAGATAATATATGAATAAGTTGTAAATTTATATGTCATAAGTGATTGTAATAACGCACAAGCCTTCCCGGTAGCCGTCAAGGAGAGCCTGACAGAGGCTCTTGTTGTGCGGTATGGTCTGGAGTATGTCACCGTCGGAGGTGACGTAGCCAATGGCCCACTGGCCGAGTCTCGTGCAGCTCAGCCGAAAGACGTAGCTGCCGGGTTTGGAGCTGCAGTACTTTTGCAGCCGGGCCTTTACCTCGTCATAAGTGAGAAAGGCCACGTAGCCGGGGTGCGTCACAGCCAGGATCTTCCAGTTGCGCAGCAGCGTAGACCACGGCTGGAACAACCTGCACGAGTATATATGTGATTAGAGGGACAAAAAATCCAAACATCTTTTCATGTTTTATCGTGGATAAAAATTATCATTTGGTATTATTATACGTAAATAAAATAATTCGTAACGATTATATTCATACCTTGTAAAAACGTCGAATTCGAAATTCGATATGTATCCATTGCACGTGAGGTCTATCGTTGATTTGAGCGCCATAGCTTGTAGTCCCGAGCTTATGGGGTGCACCTGATTCAATTCGTGCCTAAATACTTTCCAAGGTACCAATGTGCTGTAACAACAAAAATCAATAATACACATATATTTAGTGCAACTGTATTATTTCAGTGATCCAAATATTTTGAGTCGTGTACTTTACACGTACTACGTTATTTTTATATTAAACGGCAAATGGATAAATCGGTTTCTCATACGCGTAAAGTGTCTAAATTTTCTTATTGATTTATTCGAGTTATTTGCCGACCAATACTAACAACTGTTATTTTTACAATAACATTCGAAATGTGATTTTTTTTTTTTTTACTCTGAAAGTTTTGTTTGAAGACAAAAAATAACTTTTCCGCCCTCGGATGGTTTTGGGAGGCTGGTACTTCCTCGGGCGAAAAAGCAGTTTTCCGGAACTCGTTCGAAAAGTCTCCTTTACGAACCTCGTTACGTCCCTCGCCTTTGGCTCGGGCCGCAAACCTCTCGGTTCGCAAACAAAGACTTTTCAAACTCGTAGGAAAACTACTATTTTCCGCCCTCGGGTGGTTTTGGGAGGCTGGTACTTCCTCGGGCGAAAAAGCAGTTTTCCGGAACTCGTTCGAAAAGTCTCCTTTACGAACCTCGTTACGTCCCTCGCCTTTGGCTCGGGCCGCAAACCTCTCGGTTCGCAAACAAAGACTTTTCAAACTCGTAGGAAAATTACTATTTTTTTTTAATTCTAAAAGATACAGATGTTTTCTTTTTATCCTTTGCAAATATATCTTTAATAATTGTATTAATGTACAATTGTTGATTAATTATTTGTATAATGTCGGAATATTTTTCAATCAATAAATTATACGTATCGGCACGTAAAATCAAAAAATTAAAGTTTATTCTTGATTTTAAACTTAAAAAATGTCAAGTCATGCTGTTTCCTCACGTACATCGCTTTTTTGCAATGTATAAACGCAAGTGTTTTTTACAGATAATCGGAGTCAATACAGGTATACTATGTAAGTATTTATCGATACCTAATAGTTAAGTTGTTTACGGAGCCATTTATAGTGGCGACGTGTTTGCTTTAGAGGCCCTTTGTTACAACTTGGCCCATCAATCATGGATCAGAGGGGGTAAATCCATGATAAAACATAAATAATATTTTTATGTATCATAAAAATCGGTGAGGAGAAAAAAAATTGCGTATCTGCTAAGTACCACAAGATCAAGCCAACCGCGTGTCCTTCCGAAAATCGGCTACTTATTTAAAATTAAGGCAGTTTTGAGAGGAGCCAATCAAATCCAAGACAAACATGGCGACTTTTTGGGATAAGGGAAGTGTGCAGAAAAGGACGAAACAACACTCTCGCGCGCGCTCGCCTGCAGTTGCTTGTAGTTGTAAACCGTAAAGTTGTGTGAAGGTGTATACGAGAGTGACGCGTGTATTTTTATAGTAAATAAGGTTTACATAACTTACATACACCAACTGATTGATAGTTTGATTCTCCAGCCCGATAAAACTGAGGTATAAAAAATACGTATTGATACACATATTTCTACCACTGTTCTACTTATCGATGTTATTCATCATCAACAACGAATGCATTGCATGACAACAGGTATATTGGGAAGGTGAAGATAAATCATAGGTGACAGCTTTTTTACGATGTGTCATGAACTCCCATTGTCAAACAAGTTTATTAGACACAACAAACAATTCAATTGTAAACAAAATGCGACATGATAATGGTAGGAATCGATGAAGTGCAAAGTATTAGGCTGTAGGTACTTTTCGCGCGCCCACGTGCATGTTTGTTGGTATAGTAATAAGGCTGATAATTTCTGCATTAATGCTTCAGTGCAAAAAAATATATACCACTATGTAGGTAATTGTAATAATAACCGCTCGCTACAGCTGTAGAAATGCACTAGTTTGTAAAAAAAAAAAAAAAAAAAAAAGTGAGG